ACTTCTCATTAGGCTAGTGCTCTAGTGTCTCTCTTCTAAGTCTATTTTTTCTTTAATGTTTCATACAAAGTGGAAATGTCTTTTACCTACAGTTTATTTCTGTAGTTTTATGTAATAAATTACCTTTCTTGTCCTTATTTTTTCCAATTCTTCATCATTACATGATGAATTCTGAAGTTCATGTTATCACTTTGGAGGCTCTACCACCTACTTCCAGCATAATTACACAGGCTTCAGATCAGGGGAACTAGACTATGGAATTTTTGGCTTTCATTCATTGGAAGATTGATTGTTATATGAATCAACCTTCTTCTTCCAATACTGCTATTCTTCCTCCTGAATCTGCTGAACTTGGTTATGATGATAAGGATTTTGACAGACTTTTTTCCTACACATGACTATGCTGTGCCTTCCCAAACCTTTCCTGCAGAATCTGCTAGGTCTAACTCAGCCTTTTTTAGACATTATTTCTCGGGTGTGTTCTATTTTATCCACTTTTTCCAATTTCTTATAATTCTGTTCATTCCTTATTACATGACACCCCTTTCTCACAGTATTTTGTTTTCCCTCTTCCTGACATGAGGGTTCATTCTACGCATTTGTTTCTCAGTTGCAAGTGGGTGCTAGCATGACTTGCCCTCCAGTCGTGTGGTCCATCTCTGCATGGTAGGCTCTGAGGTTTGATGTTGCACCCAGATTCTGTGCAGTTCTATCCAGAGGATACAGTTGCATATAATTGGTTGAGGCAGTTCCCTTCTATGTGGTTGGACTCAGAAGTTTGTGATGTGCTCCAATTCTGTATGGTCCTATCCAAGGGGATGTTGCTGCACATGTCTACTAATGAATACTCTCCACTTCTGTGCTGTGGATCCTGGAGGTTGATATTCCTTTTGTGTAGTTCTATCCAGAGGGTGAGGTTGCTTATAATTTATGGATGCAACTTGCTTCCAGGTAGTGGACCCTGAGGTTGCTATGGTGCTCCAAACTTTGTGTGGTCCTATCCGGAGGATGATATTGCTTTGGAGTTGATTCGCCACAGTGCAGTTCATCTCTTCTATTGGAATCCCTCATTCTACCATCACATGGATGTCTGTTTCTGGTGACTGGTTTTGTATTTAGAGCAGGACCAATCAGCATAAGTTCTCATATGTGTGTTGCTTGTGTTTCCTCTCCCTCACTCAATTTGCCTCAGGATCACCAAATCCATGCAGTGGGTCCCAGTGGTTGGTGTTGCAATCAGCTTCTATGCGGTTCTCTCTGTAGGGTGAGGTGGTTATATTTTTCATGAAAGGCCATCCACTTCTGTGCTGTGGGACCCGGAGGGTGTCACTGCACACTGAATTCTGTGCAGTCCTATTCAGAGAATAATGTTGAATGAAGCAACAGTTCTCCCTGTTGCATTCCACCGCAAGGAGTTTTGCAGCCCAAGAATGCTGTTGTGCAGTGGGGTGCCAGTTTGATTGAATTTAAAGTTGATGTGACCTCCCACATAGGTACATCTCTTACTGCAGTCATTTGGATGTTGAGTCCCTGGATGTATGGTTAGTTGTTTATTTGTGCACATGAGCCCATTTTGTAGATCGGTTTGGACAGTATATCCTTCCGTTCTACTGCACTTGAGGTGAAGATGGTGTGGATCTTCCTGCTACCATGGCTCAAAGGTTATATTTCCAATACCAATTGGTTTTAGACTGGAGTTGACCTGCTGTGTATGGTCTGTCATGCCCTAACCACTCTACACCTTGGAGAATATCCATTTTAGCTTTTCCCCCACATTACTGTGTGTAGATGTTTCTTCTAGTCATTATTCGATGGGATTGAGATTATGATATACTAAGGTTTGGATTCCAGTTCAACCATTTTTCTCTCCCTTTTGGTTGTGCTCCTCCCTTTTTTCTGCCTGTGTATGCAACACCTCTTTCCACACTGGGTGCAGTGTATACCTGGTACACAAGTGGTGCAGTCTCCCTCATATGATACTTTGCTATGGGGATCACAATTCTGGGGTGTTCTTTGGACAATTTCGAAGGATGTTTTTTTCTATCCCTTGCAACTGTCCCCCTATTCAATGTGAAATTGTAGCTATATATTTGAGCAGAGGTAATGTACCATATGGTAAGTCATAATTTTCCTTTACTGAAATTGCATTTTCGATAGGTACTTATCTCCTCTCACACTTCCCACTTTTCCTCCCCGTTGAAAACTGGTGCTTGTTTTTCTGCCTGCTCAATGTGATAGTTTGTTAGAATTGAATAGAGAGAGTGACGTATGTCTTATTGGTGTAGGGTTGTTGGAAGATGATTTATATGCAAGATGCAGTTGAACCACAAAGATCTTGGGGTTTGTGGGAGTGCAAGGCTTGTGGCATGCAAAAAACATTTTTGCATACAGAGGACAGCACTGAACGAGAACAGCTATATATGTGAGAGGGGGGTAAGTACCTATCGGAAATACATTTCAGTATAGGAAAATTATAACACTTGTGGTTCTAATATGCAGAAGGAAATGTGCAGTGATTTGTGACAGGTGGAATGAAAGAGATAAGAAGTCAAAATAAAAATACAATGAAAACTCCTATTTGCTGATACACAAATAAAAAGGAAAAGTAAACCACAATGTGAACTGAAGAAGATGAAGCACATATGATTAGGAAATTCAGAGCTCATTTCCCTATAAAATTGCCAAAACTGCATTCATAATGTATGTTCACCTTTCAGCTGACCAATCAGAAAAGTACACTGGGATGTGGACATATCTCTGTTCCATGTGATAGCCACAAAATATTCCTGAAACACAAGGTCAAGCAAGACACAATGTAATTGTCCCACCAATCAAGCCACAAAAAAGTAACATTTTAATTTGAATTTATCACATGACCTTTATTTAGTGTGTTCCAACATCAGAACTTAGAGAAATTTGTAAATTTTGTAAGTAAGAAACACATATTATATGTGTTATATGCATACTAGTTTCACATATGCTTATGAAAGTTTTCATACAACTCTTACTAAACATGAAATATTGCCTCAATCTGTTGTATGTTTTTATTAATGATATATTTCTGTTATGGAAGCCATGGTTCCATCACCACACTATTGCTTTGAACATTATGACTGCATGACATTTATAGGCATTATGCTTGTGTGTCACTATCTGTTTGATTGGATGACTACCAGACAGAGTGTAAACAGTTTACATAACTGTATATTGGTACTGTTTATTTTATACATATTTTCATAAATATTTCCAGTATTGTATATTAGTAATGAATATTTATGTTAAAAAATAATATATATATATATATATATATATATTGAAATTGTGATATTTCAATACATACTTGACACTGATTACTTGGGAAAGCTCATGAGACTTCTAGTTAATATTAAACTGCATTACAAATTTAGAATATAATGATGAGAAAGTGAGAAAACTTTCCAAAGACCAGGTTTTCAATTAAAACATTTATTTTTTAAAGATTTCCAGATCATGAGATTCAAGTAGGGAATCTTGCTAAGATGTTAGGATTTCGGCATGTTTCTCTATCATCAAATATAATGCCTATGGTTCGTATGGTCCCTCGTGGTTTTACAGGTGAGTCACAATCCATAACAAAACAGATAATCTGTGATGATTCTTTTTGACTTTGTAAGGAACATTACATTAAGAATGTTAAATTAACTATACATGTACTTGCTAGTTTTTCATGAAAAGCAATTCTTCACATATAGACTTGCTAGTTTTAATATATATATATACATTACTTTTTAATCTGTAGCCTCAGATGATGGCACTGTTCTTTGAGTTTAAGATGCATTGACTGCCACCTGATTGGTACTTGTATGGTAGGTCTATGAACAACATTTGGTAGGTCTCACTGCATGTTTTAGGTGTGCTTTTATTCACTTAGGATGGTCTCTGTTTCCTACTTATTTCTAGTACCTTTTTTCTGTTATTAACCTAGATATTTGAGTTTTCTTACAACTTCTTTGAATGTACTTAAGTTTTATTTCCCTTCATCTCTTCTGAAAATATATATATAGATATTAAATATTGTATAGTAGAATAACATGTATATTATTTTGATGTCATATGAGATTGTCCCTTTCCATTTTGAGAAAAAAAGTTATGTTATATTCATGTCTCACTTGAACATGTTTCTGTTGATCTATTTTATTTTTATAATGATATTTTGTAAAGTTCTTTATTGGTTTTTGTTCTAATGAAAACAATCTTAAATGCCTTGACAAAAACAATTTCTTTTGGTAAGTTAAGTTTAAAATGCTCGTTGTTGGATAACAGAATTTTTTTGTACAAATCTATAAAATGTGCTTCATGTTCTTAAGGATACTAATTGTTTTGTTTCATGTGTATCTTGTTTTCTTTATAGCATGCACTGATGCATACCTTACGCCTTGTATTAAAAAGTATGTGAATGGATTTTCTTCTGGCTTTAAGAATAATCTTAAAGTAAGTGTAAGGATTTGTATTTTTTTGTGTATCACAAAAACTACATGTTAAAAACAAGTTATAATTGTGCATATACTCTTGTTTTGTGTATAAGAAAATATCAGGGGAAATTTACTAAGTGTGCATATAAAATAAATAGATAAATGTGAATGTTCGTGTTTGAATTTTCTATAAATCCTTGAACTTTCTGAATCAACAATGATAAAAGAAGAATGTAATTCAAAACTCCAGCATTTTGTAAAATCATTAAGTATTTCTAGCCAGTGGTAACAAAGAATGTAAAACAAAGCTCAAAAACAATTGTTACATTTATCAAGATTCACAAACTTAAAGCAGTCAGTAACAAAGTAACAATAGCAAATAGTTCCCTAGCCAACAGTAACAAATTCAGAAAATGAAGCAAAGCTCAAAAAGTTGGATTTATCTTGGCAAATTGCTAAAATATCTTTTTTATGCTTAATTTATGTAAAACAGTAATTTTTTAACAGATTAATGTTGTGGTTCATTGATAAAATTCTTCACTCATGACATTAACTTTATGATGACAACCATTTGCTGTTTCAGCCAATTTTTTGTTGCTGTATACATATGATGATGATTTTATTTATGAATGATGTACTTTTTTTTTTTCCCTCCTCCCTCTGCATTAATCTGTAGTTTCACTGAATCATGGCTCCTCAATACTGTTTGGGAGAGCAAACCAAAGAAATACCATAGGCCTATTATAATGATGGAATGTAAACAATTTTTAGGTTTCGATGTAAAGTGCTCTGTCCACCACTAATATTCTAAAATAATTTAGATGACGTGACAATACACTCACAATTAACTATTCATTATTATTTAGCAGACTAGGAGGTAATGTATTTGTGAATTTTTCTTTTTTTCATCAAAGTGTGTAATTTCAGTGTAAAGGTAAAAGTATCTGGGAATTACCAAGAGGCCCAATCAGTCCTTTGACTCACTACTTCTTCTGCAGTAGCCTATAGTTTTGCTGAATCACAACTTTTCAATACTAATGTATTTTAGGTTATTAGTGGTGAATAAAATAAACCTACCTAAAAACATACAAAATAATATAAAATTTTGTTACAGGATGTCAACTGCCTATTTATGCAATCTGATGGAGGCCTAACTCCAATGAACCAGTGAGTACAAACATTACTGAAATATTTAGAAATACCTAAATTTTTCATCATGAAACACATAAAAAAAAAAATTACTTTTTTAATAATTTTTAATTATATTTCATGATGTGAACTGTAATATTCAATTAAAAACTTCATTATGAATGTTAAATGCAGTACTCAATCTTCTAGGAATTGATTTTGTAGTTTTTCCACATTATGAGTTGTTTCAAGGCTTCATGGATATTTACTGTTCTTGTTTATTTGCAGGTTTTGTGGGTCAAAAGCTATACTTTCAGGCCCAGCAGGAGGAGTTGTAGGTTATGCACTGACAACATACAAAAGAGAAACTAATTTGCCTGTTATAGGATTTGATATGGGAGGTGAGCAATTATGCATTAATTTTTGTATTAGGTTTTGATGGATTGTGAAATATTTTATGTGCATGTTTTATGAAATAGTATTTCAACAGTTTAAATTCATTTAGGTACTTTATCCAATCTGAGTTTTAAAGAAGCAAATATCATTCACTGAGAAGTCCAAAATTAACTTCTTGAAAAATGAGTGAAAAGCCAAACTTAACTGGTCAGTACCAATTTTATCAAGCATGAGGTCCCAAACAGCAGGGTAATTTTTTTCATGCAATCATCTAATAGGTTGTGCAATAAGACAGGGTTTAGGAACTTATCCCTCCTAAAAGATACTTTTTATAATTAAGAGTTAACTGTTATTTTAGGAGATTTAACATCATATATTATGTTGCATTTTGTAAGAGAGAAAAAAGGAACAGTTGCATTTTAATTTAAAATTTTATTTTTAACACACTCACTTGTCTTGCTGAAGCATAGGATCAGCACTTTTAAGTGGTTTATAGTGAAGCTCATCAGTGTTATTTTTTAGAGTTTAGTCAAATCTGTAATAGCATTTTGCGTAGAGAATCTACATATTTAATACATTTCTTTCTATTAAATATAGGGTTGTGTTCAAAGGTTTATTCTCTAGCTAGAGATTTGAAGATAGTTCTAAACATTTAAAAAATGTTTATCAAGTGGCATCAAGCAGTGCCAGTTTTTTCTTTCTCATGTTAACAGAAACCATTTGACAATACTCGAACAGCAATTACACATTAAATATCACTCACATAGAAAATTCAATATTTTGATTTGTTTAATGCAAATTACTCAATTAAAAGTTTTTTATTAAAAACGAACAAACACATACATTTATGCACACACATACTACCAAAGCATTATGTATTAGCTCCTACTGGGCATTGGAGCAAACCATTATGGTGGACCACAGGTGTAGGAGTTCATGGTTAAAATCTTTAACATGACAAGACATATTATGTGGTAAAATATAAAACATCTTGAAACTGTCTTTAATTTTCCATTTACATAAGTAATGTATGACAAATGGTGGTATAGTAATATAGCTAATATCACAACTACTCTGTAATATTAAAACAATTGTGCAACAACAATAATATTGTAAACATAGTTAAAAGCATGTTAAGACAGTCTGAAGAAATAAAATAAAGCAGCTTAATAAATTAATATATATTTTTGCATCAAACAATTACAATTATTGTACTACTAGTCTTGACGAAGCCCCAATGGTGAAACATTAGTTGAAATAAAATGTTTTTTATTATTATTATCTGGAGAGCAAAGGTAATTTTTTCCCAATCATATTGCTGAAATCTCTAAGTCCTTCTAGTATGCACTACAAATTCTGAAGAGAACAAAATGGTATTAGATCTGTGTATAAGAGTTTTAATGAACAGATATTTAATTTTTCATTTATATATATATATTAAATGTGACAGACTATTTTTATCAGTGAGAAAGTAACATGAATATGAAAAATTGTAAGAACTCTGAATTTCAATTGAGTTAGAGGCAATCATAGTCCTTGATTATGTCCAAGAGCTTCTACTGTCTACAGAAATAGACTAAATAATTATTTCTAGTTGCTGGAAAACTTCTAAAATTTTTATTGTAAGATTCAAACGATTATGAAATGTAAAACCAATGGTCTTTTAAGTGATTTTTTTCTCAGTGGTTACCATAAACAGATCTATAAATAGCTTAAAATAATAAATAGAAAATTAGGTAAAATAACCAAACAGATTAAAATAATCTGGTTTAAGTAGACATAGCTTTATTTAAGTAGATTATGCAGCAGATGTAAGTAGTAAATACACCTACTAATTGTAGTATAAAGTTTTACATCATTTAAGTATCTAATGGATTTACACATAAATATATATAAAATGAATACACAAAGTGATTTGTGTAAATATACAATTAGATTAAAATCTTTAATATGTATACAATCATCTCCAAATTTACATAAATGTACAAACAATATAAAATCACTGAGTATAACATACTATTTACACATTTTAACTTTAAAGTCATGAGTGTTGATTGTACAGAAATTACCATGTTTGGAGCAAGAGAAAATCCACTAGACCATTTCCTCATATATATATCTTTACCAAAGTTTAGAGCTCAATCTCTTGCTTTTAAGACTCAGTGAAACTCCCAAAATGTTGTGTTGGTGTTGAAGAAAAGCCTTCCTAATTCGAGGTTACTTTTGCTCAGGGCAGTTATATTTTGCATTGTAAGAATGATTTTCAACACGTTCATTACATCTAGGACACTGTACACTTACTGGAAACAACAACAAAAATAAATGTTCTTGAACTGTTTCAATTATGGTTTAATATTGGTTGAGATCTGATCAGCCAAATTTAAGTCTGTAAATAATTGAATAATCTAAATCCATGAAAGTGGTTACTATGAGAAGATCAACATACTTTTTTTCTGTTTTGCAGTTTTCTTGTTATACTTTGATTGGATTCTTTTTGAATGTCCACTCTTTTTGATTGCTTCAACTTTAACAAGAACTCTTATCATAGAATGCATTCAAAAGGTTTTCATTCATGCAAACACCATATCTTGCACTTGCAAGTAAGTCTAGGGTAAACATGGCTTTCAGACAATCTCCATTGTACATTTCTAGTTTAGCACTGAAAACAGATATAAACAGAAGTAAATGGACCCAAACAGAGAGAAGAACTCATTTTCAAATGAAGTTTCTTCTGAGTGAGGTCAACCATAGAACTCGAAAGTTGTATTGTTTGAAAATTCCTATATGAATTATCATTGAGAGGCGATTTTAGTTTTTTTTATCACTTACCAGATATTGTGATGACCAAAACAGTTGCTAATTTTTGTTTGATAACACTCTAGTTTAGGATTAAAAATCACTAAGTTCACCACCTGATGTACACAAATATACAAATAGTTGAAACACCACCTGATGTACATAAATATACAAATATACAATCACTAACTAAACCACCTGTGTTACAAAGTTTTTCCAACTAAGCTGATTTCTTTTGTCTTTTATTTGTGGTGATTTTGTTTGTCTCTGTTCTATATTCCTGTACAAATGATTATTTACAACAGTAGTTGAATAAGAGCAATATTTTTTTATTTACAAATCACACAGTACATATAAGCAGGCAAGAATGGGTCACACTACAACTGACTGTCAATTTTCAGCCCTTATATAGGATCTAATAGGATTCTGACACCTAGATCATGTGATGTTCAAGTTACATTTCAAACTTTATGAGTCAGAGCTTTTTCTTTAATAATTAATTTAAAAATACTCATCTCACTAATTAGAAGGGTAATGTAACTGAATACTCTGTTATTGTACAGGGCAAATAAAGAGTTGTGTGTGTCTGTGACTTCTATTCCTATGGGTACATTGGTTACTTCTATAGAATTGTTCCTTTAATCATTATATATCTTATAACCCATGAAGTGTGAAGATTAACTGTTTTTAATTAACAACTAAATTACCCTGGGTCATTAAATAAATGAGCCTTATAGTATGTATAGGTATGGTTTACATGCTGAGATTTCACAGGTGTAAGCTAATGAAATCTGCATTATATGAGTTAATACATTTATGTACAAGGACAGTTACTGTTTATTGGCTTGAAAGTTAGTTCATGGATGGCACAAGGTAGTGAAGCTGGTCCTATAGTCATTTACTGTCACAACCTGATGCATGTAAATAAACAGTTTAAAACCAATAATTATATCACAAGTTGTACATAAATAAATAATAAATTTAAAATCATTAACTAAAATACCATGTAGATGAATGAAAAACCAGTTTAACTCTGTTCTTATGTGGATGGTCAAATTATGCATGTCACAACCTTTTAACAAAGATATGTTGGAAATTTAATTAAACTAATTTGTTATCAATGTATGTCAGTAATTGTGGCATAACTTAGTTGATATTTGAAGTTTTTATATTATCTAAGTTTTAATTTATTAATTTCAAAAAACAAATATCTAGTTAAATAATCTCAGTCATTATTTCCCCGTGTCACATGATGCATCTACACTCTGAATTCCCCATTTAACTTTTTCTTCATAGCTTGTATGAGTTTGAGTGTTTGACTATTTTATAGAGACATATAATATTGATATTGACAAGCCAGCTTATACAATATGAACATCCAAGGTTTTCACTTTAACCCCATAAAAATGGGCTTGTGTATTTTACACGACTTTGTAATCACGTGTAACCATGGTGGTATACATACTATGACTCTGAAAGTACATAATGTATCTTCATAAAATTTGGCAAGCTTTCAGTATACTTTAAAAAGTATTTTGAAGACAAAAAATCAGAATTTTTGATTAAGTAGTTTTATGAAAACTTTGTTCGTAATTAAATAGTGTCAGTGTGTTGACTGCTCCAAGTGCAAAGTGATTTTTGTGTTAAGATTAAAAATACTTCATCTGAAAAATTTTCAAGTTTCATTTGTGTAATCAATAACACCTCCTGAATAAATATCAAATGTTTTTTTGCTGAAAAACTTTATATTTTATCTGTTATTTTCTATAATGCAACTGTATATGTGGTTGGTCAATTTGATCAACCTCATAACCATCATAGAAAATGAGAAAATAACAAGTTGAATGCCCGTCATATGACAGGAAATAATTATTAATTTTTTTCTAAAAATTATATCTAAATAAATGTTTTATGAACATATTTTCTAAAAATTAATTATAATATTGTAACAATATGCATTTTTTATGTACATTTGGTCATCTGTTTTAAGTATTGTTTGATTAATATTTTGATTTCTGTATTTCAAGTTATTTTCAAATGTTTTTTCTTGATAAATCCTTATAGATTGAAATGTGAAAAAACTGTTTCTCGAAGACATTTTTCTACTTAGTCAGATGTATGACCCTGCAAATTATTAATTGTGATAGTAAAGGCAGTGAATTTTATTATGAATTTTGGGGTTTTCTCTTTGGACTGTTTTGGTTTTGGC